CATCATCAAATAGATAGATATTTACAATTTATTTTTTAGATCAATAATGAAGTGACTGCTCGATACGAAAATTTGATAGGCCCTCTAATTATTGATGTATGGATGAAACACCCTACAGGTATTATTGTATTCCCTATTTATTATCATTGTCATAATGCCAACAAATTTAACGATTTCTTGCTTTTTTAGATCACACAATCCATCCGTTAGTTACAGATATTTTCGAAGAATTATCAAGCAACGCAGATGCATATTCTTCATTCCAGACTAGAGCCTTACCTCCTTTGGCCAATATATTGATTAACAACACAGATCCTGCATTGACTGCAGTAAGTTTTACAAAGATTAGTTTTGATTTTTGCATTTAACATAGTATTAAGGTATTATATTTTCAGTCAGCCATCGATCTAATCGCAAGTCTTGTAAAAGGCGGTCCTTCACCACTTCCATCTCCATATATCGAACATGTGTTTCCGCCATTAATGCATCTGATGCTAACAACTGAAGATCGAAGTATTTCACAGGTTGTGTTTCAGTATTTTATTTATTTTCATGAATAAATCAACTTAAACGGTTTTCTTTTCGAAACACAGAATGGAGAGATTTGTTTGAAATACTTTGTACAAAAAGATTGTGCGCGAATTGCTGAATGGTAGATATGACTTCATTTCACCTCATATCAATTGTTTAAGCTCCTTATTAAATGATGTATTATTGTCGCAGGACCGATGCAAACGGAAAAACTGGTTTAGATTATGTGATACAATTCATAGCAAAGTCTCTTCAGCCAGCTGAGAGTGAATCAGCTACATTTTTTGGTGATTTGGTCGTGAAACTTATTGAAAAGGTTCTTCTTTGATTAGCTCATTGAATAGAATTATATTTATTACGGTTAACTCATTTTATGTATTTATGATAGGCAGGGAATAGACTTTTACCTGTACTTCCAGAATTGCTTAGAGCAATTGCGGAGAAATTAAATATTGCACGCACTGCCACATTCATACAGGTATTTATCTCTGATTAGGTTCTAATTTGATTAATATTCTTTTCTATCCTATCAGGAATAGTATTTTCGCTTGACCAATTCGATGAAATTTTTTTAATCGAATTCTAAGCTTACAATTCTAGATAATTAATATAAAAAAACATTTTATTGAGATAGCTTCGTTCAAATTTAGAAAAAAATTTAATACAAATATTTTAATAGATGTTCTGAGTTTTTTAAAAACTTTAAACAAAAAATATCTTAACCACCTAACTAAATTCAATGATAATTTTTTTATTCTAATTCTCTAAAATTTAGAATTCGATTAAAAAATTTTCATCAAATTTGGTCA